TTACTTCTTCCTTAACTAACCAAGGGTTGTTCTGTTAAGCATCTGAGATTGCTATGCAAATAGTGAAAGCCTTCTTTAAAAAAAAAAAGTACACTTCACTAAATTGTACAGATTAATTTTAGGGCAGTCTGAAACCTGCATTTGCTTTAAATAGTAGTGTTGAACCCGATTGCATTGCTTTTTTTTGTTTGTTTTTGTTTTATTTTAAAAAAAGAAAAGAAAATTAGGTCATTCTCTAATTAGACTTGGCAGGCTAAGAAATAGTCAGGTGAACTTATCAGTGGGATCTAAACACTTTTGCTAATACCTGTTCTGCTGCAGATAGCCTGATGTTTAATAAGTACCTTCTTAATTTCGTTTTTCCAGAAGCTCTGAAGAGAGTATTTAAATGGCTTCAGTTTGACACAATTGAGTACATGGATCTAGAAGCAAAGCAAATCTTTGCAAAAGTTAAAGAATACAGTAAAAAAGATCATAGCAACATGGACTGTTTTGTTTGCTTCATTCTTTCACATGGTGAGAAGGACAAAATAAAAGGCACTGATCACGAACTTGTAAATATTAAAGATTTACTCTCCTGCTTCAGTGGATCTAATTGTCCTTCTCTTGCTGGCAAGCCCAAGCTATTTTTCATACAGGCCTGCCAGGGCTACGTAGGTCATCCAGCTGTCACAGTAAAGGAAGACTGTTCTGGTCATCTTGAGATGGATGCTATCCCTCTGCCTTCTATTCCTGACCAGGCTGATGTTCTGGTTGGCATGGCTACTGTGGAAGATTTTGAGTGCTACCGTTCTATAAAGACGGGCAGTGTTTACATTCAGTGCCTCTGTGACAAGATGGAGTTACTTTGCCCACTGTAAGTCTATTTTTAACCCAGGTACAGATTTGGGGTTGTAATGCTGGAACATTACATATAGGCAGGTGTATTTATGTGTGCATGTTCTTAGCATTTTATTGACTGATAAATGATTTTTCTTCCAGTGACACCTGATGAGAGGCAAATTTGTTGGGCTGGTACACAGGCAGGAAATCAGTATTCTTTATTCATAATTCTCATCAATTCTTCCCTCATAAACTTAATTTAGAAGATGGAATTTTTCCTCCAGACGCTACTTTCTTATGATGTTCAGAGGGGGGCTTGGTGAATGCATAGATTGGTTCTGTTTCATTTTATTGTGCTATTGTGAACACAACTGAAGTAGAAGGCTGTGTTAGTTTGGAAGGTGATCCTACACTGAGGTTGCTTTTATTCCCCAAAACATACTGAATTCTTTGGTTACAAAACAGAATGTGTAATTTTAGTTGCGGGCAAGGTGAAGGAAAGATAATAACTTTCCGAGATCTCTTTTATTGGAACAAATATAGATCAATTTCTGGACAAGCAGCACATACTGTGTATTTTAATGTAACTTTTCTTCATTTTTGTTCAAGCCGCAAGGACCTCATAACCATCCTGACAGAAGTGAACAAGGAAGTGGGAAGAAGAGTATTAAATGGGTGGAAACAGATGCCAAAGATAACATCAACCCTACGGAAACAATTTATCTTCCAAATTCCACAATGCCAGTCAATTGAAAAGCAGGAAAAATAAGAATGTCCTCGATTAGGAATTGCCTCTGGAATGGACTTCCACAGGGAATTTAAGAGAACTTGCAAGAGAAATTGTCTGGTTCTGTGTAGTTCGTTGCTGTCCTCCAAGGAGCCATCCGACTTAAATTTTTCAAATGCCATGTGTAATGAGTCTGCTCAAACTTGAATTGGTAGGTCTTCTAAGGCAATGGAGGAGTAAAGAGTTGCTTTCCTGTCCTGCAGAAGCAATGAAATCTCCTCAGCCCTGGTCTTAAGTGAGGAAGCACCTCCAAGCAGTATGATTTTTAAGTGTAATATGCCATTATCATTTCTATCTGTTGGGAGAGTAAGTCCTTGAAATCTGAAGAAAAGAACAGGAAGATTCAGAGCACCAGATCCCTTCTCAGGGAACTTGTGTAAGGCTATAACTGATTTACACGGAAGTGAGTGACTGGGTATCTCTGGAAGCTGTGTAGTTTTTCACAGAAAATAATGTCTCTGTCCAGAAGGACAAAGGAAAAGTGATTGTTATATATCTGGTTCTTTTCCTTCACTTTTTTTTTTTTTTTTTCTTTATGTTATTAATTTGCATGGTTGGGCAGCATTGCTGGTTAAGATTTTTATTAATAAGTTCCAATTGTGCTCTTTCTCAGAATGCTTGGGAAGCATTATCTTTTGAAAGGCTGTTGACCACTGGAAGTAAGGTTCCACTCTATGAGACACAATTCTGAGACGCTGTCACCTCCTGGTAACTGGCTGTAGCTTCTACAGGCTTCTAATCTCTGTTATAATAAACGCTGTTGGTTGTCACATCACTCTTGCTTGTGGTGTTTTCCTCTGAGTAGTTGATTGAGGGACAGTCAGCACAACAAACCTCCTTTGCTTCAGCTAAAGAAGTTATTTTGCTTTCACTGAAGTATTCTATGGCAGACACCCTGAGGGAGAGGTGGCGTATTTATATTCTTTCATTAGCAGATGGAGAGATGGTAGAAAAGAATAAAGTTAGGACATTCTTGATAATGGGAGCTGATGCCAGTAAAGCTGTTCTTACCTTGTATTTTCAGCAGTATGTATGTAGTATCTGGGAGCCATCTGGAATTCTAATGGCTACGTCCCTTTTGAGCTTTATAGCAAGATAAAGGATCAGTGTGAAACACTTTATAACTTCTGCTTTTTTTAATTTGCTTTTTTTGGGGGGGGCGGGGGTTCTTTATTCAGCCCTGTTTGTCTTCCTGAAGTGAGGCCTTTTACTCTTAATTCCTCACAGTTGTTGACAGTTGCTCTGCTTACCATTTTCACTTTCTAAGTAAAAGAGAGAATGTCTGTTCTTAGAATCACAGCTCTGTTCATACAGGTTTCATAAATAATAAATAGATATTACAAGCATTATATAAATGAGAATGCTGTTTGTGGCAGGTGTTAGCAGGTGTTACAGGTTATGATGCATTTCTATAGCTGATGTTTGGTTAACTGTTGAAAAACATGACAATTCAAATTTCTATAGCATTTTCATATGTGAGACCTTGCTATAAATGTAGAAATTAATTTTTGGATTTTTGTTTTTGTTTTTGTTTTTTTAATTTTATGGAAATATAGTTTATATGAAATTGCTGCTTCCTCTGGAAGAAGCTTGCTGGAAGGTGGCAGCTGCTCCAGTAGAATTAAGAGAAAATATTACTGGTATTAGTGAAGTGGTGAATCTACAGCATTTCTGTTTCTTTCTATGCCTCTGTGTCAGAATTCTGTCCTCTCAGATTAGGTTCTTTTATAAACTCCACATAAGGAGAATTTAGTGTCTAATATCAAATTTACTTGATGTTACTTGGGTTTTTTTGTACAGTAATAATGAACATAATATAAAATAGGAGGCATGACTTTTGGAGAAGCTCTTGTTACTTAAAAGTAATTTCAGGAAGAAGTCATACTGTGGGTTGATATGTGACTCAATGAAGGAGAAAATGCACTTTCATTTTTTTGTGGTTCTGAGCAAAATAAATATGCACACCCCCACGGCAGAGTGGCTGCGATGTTTCTGACCATATTTGTTGCCCTCTACCAGAGCTGAGGTATGAAGGAAACTTGAAGACCGGACAATTTCCTGTTTCTTCTCTGTAGCACAACTCGGGGAAAGGGGGAGGGGCAATTGCCTCTCCGTTCAGAGGCTATGGTTATTCAGCCTGCCTTCCCTTTTCTTCAACTCATGTCTGGGAAGCAGAACTTTGCACTGAAGCAATGTGACACTTAAGTCTGTTATGTTTTCAGCCAATGGAAGCATTACCAGCAGGAAGTGAATCACAAGCTTGGCAGGAAGGCAAGGCTGAGGTAGGTCCTGCAGAGATAAGCTAGAAAGCAGGCAATCAAAATGAGGCTGTTTGCGAAAGAAAATGCTGAGAAGAGTGAGGGAGGGCCATTATCTGCTTAGGTGGAAGCAGTGTTCATTCAGAGGCACGAATGTCTGCCCTTTGATCCCTTTGATTTGCATCTTCTTATTTGTTCAGTTGAATGTCAGCTTAAAGTCAGTGTCCCAGAGAGATGTTGATGCCAGTCTTCCCTGGGAAGTTTATCATTCTCTCAGTCTTTAGGGCAACCTGGTAATCTGCTGCTGCCAGGGTGGATTTCTGACACATATTAAGAGCTTGCCTGCTCGCTGCTGCTTTCTCTCATTGCACAGGCTGCTGTAAGTATCCACTAACTCTGTAAGGGTTCACACTTTTTTTTTTTTTTTTCCAGCACTTAGAGTGCTGAAAAGCTTGACTACAGGAGATTTTTTTTTTTTATTTCATCACTTATATTTAATTATTAGCTACATCTGTCATCTACATCTCACACAGGAAATCCTGGAAACTCATGGGAAGTGGAAACAAACTCCACATCCTTTAGAAGATCCAGTTGTGCAGTAGGGAGTCCAGAGCTAGAATGTTCTCAGGAAATATTCAGTGTGAAGTCCTTGATGGCCATCCTTTTTATTTTGACCCCTAACTTACATGGGCACATGTTCTCTGGAATTATTCAGATCTACCTTTTTCTGGTAAAGAGGTGTAAACCTACAGAGAACATGTTTAATTTACAATGGTTTCTGTGCAGTGTACTAAAAAATAGTTGAGATCTTTGGGAATTCCCAAGTACTCATTTGTGTTTCCTTTCTGAAGCTGTGTCTTTGCTTATGCTGTATTTGTTCTATGTTGACAACTGCGGGAATTCCCCAGTCACATAATGTGACTGGCTTCTGCAGTTCTCAACTGTAATACATTCCTAGCTAGAAACAAAGTTATTCTGCACGTATCTTCAGAGCTTGGCCTGGCTATTTTATATTAGATGTTCCGGTAGCCACTTTGTGTTTAGGCTCTTTTGTCCAGACATGTCAGTGCAAAAAAAAAAAAAAAAAAAAAAAAAAAAAAAAGATCCATAGCTCTTGCAGTTGATTTACTAGGAGTTTGTTTTAACAGGACTTGAGGGGATAACTGATACGCTGTTAAAAAAAAAAAAAATTCTTACTGCATTCAGCTTACTTCCACCTTTGACCTAATCTATATGCAGGCAGTAATCAAATATCTTGTTTAGGGCTTTGAATATTGGTGACTTCTATGATAATACTGTAAATATTTCTGGTTAATTGCTGTGTTAAAGGGTAAATATCCAATTTGGCAGATTCTTTTGAATACCAATACTGTGAATAATACAGCTCTGAACTATAGAATACCTCCATAGAGATTTCTGTGTTTCCCAGGAAAGCACTTGGTGTAACTGAGTGTGCAAATCTCACCCAATAGATGTCTCTGTAGGGGTGGGAAGAGAGGCTCAGCCCATTGACTGGTTCTGGAAGTCAGCAGTGTCCTCCCTACTTGTCTGCGATAGTATCTTTCCCAAAAATTCCTCCTCCCCTTTTTTTATACTATTTTCTTGCTTTCAGGTGGAGCTTGAGTGACTAATATTACTTATCTTTGTTGCAATTGGTGCAACAGAAAACTGAAAAACTGCTAACTCAGTTTGACCGCTACGCAGTTATTTGTTCCATAGTACCACCAAGTTCCCATCCCTATGCTTAGGGAACTGTCATGGAATACACTCCATGCATATTTACTGCATTCCACCCTGGAGGTGTCCACAATGCTTTTCTTCTTTTGAGAGGCGAATATCCCAATAAGCGACTTCCAGTAATTACTCCACATAAGTGATCCTGTGACTACAGTTGCTCAAGACCCACAATATTTAGGAGGAACTGAGAGGGTGTGTGCAGCCTTGTTATGAGGATTAGAGTTCAAGGGGCTCTGGGGCTTTCACTATTTATTTATAGGGTAAGATGATTGGCACAGTCATAGTATGTGGCAGAACTGTGTTATCAGCCCTGAACACAGCCATGGGTGTAACATCCAGGCCAAAGGATGAGGTTGGGGGTGAGGGGAGCACGCTCTCAGATTGCTGTATAATTTTATTTTTTATCTTTTTATTTTTTATTTTTTGTGAAAGAGAGTATTGGTAGGAAGAGGTTCTGTTTTAAAATCAGTGCTGAGTGCTGAGCTCTCCTGCCATGCTGTTAATGTTCAGTTTCAGAAGCATGAAACTCCAACCAGTAAAAACACCTCCCTCCTTCCTCCTGTTGCTATAAAATATCATCTCTCTTTATAACAGAGGTGATGCACCATTCCAAGTTCTCACCCCATCATGTTGCTTCCTGTGGGCTTGCTTCTGCTGCTGAAAGCCTCCAGCAAATCCCAAGGGCTGGGAAGAGAGTTGGTTAGTGGCTTGTGCCTGTTATTAGGGAACAGGGTTGAATACCTGGACTGAGTGTGCTGTGCTTCCTGTCAGCAGCCTGGGGGCAGCTTGCGAGGAGGAAATGGTGTTCTGAGATTTTCTTTCACTTGTATTAAAATAGCAATGAATTGTTAGTGCCCTTAGACTGTGGAGGTATGACTGCAAGAAATGCCCAGGGCAGAGGGAGAGCTCCTGACCTGCTCAAATAAGTTCAGTTTTCTCAAGACTCCTTTTCGTGCTGGAAATATCCTTGGGATGCATGTGAAGATAGTGGTGTGATTGGAGCTCAAACTCTTATTGGAGAACTCTGAAGTCCTCTTATTTACTGTGCTTAACCACTGAAGTGCCACTCTGGCAATTGATTTTCACGTGTCTCTGAGTGTGTTTCTTCTCAAATACTTCAGCACAGATGGAAAGCTACTCTTTCTGCTTCCCCCGCATTTCCACTTACTGGTTTTGCTGAGTGGGTGTATGAATTTTATGAAGCAAAAAGGGAAGAATTCAAAAAAGCAGAGAGCAGTGTTAATGTAAAACGGCGCAGAATGCTGTGTTTTTGCATTTTACCAGCCACGCATGTAAAATTCACTTCTTCCTGTCAGAGTAGTATGCATGTTTGAAGTGATATGAGAAATCTCTCTGCTGGAAAAAGAACACTGCTATTGGCCTGGGAGGTGGGCGCTGGTGAGCGTTGACCGGCCCCTGTGCTCTCCTCTAGGTCGTGCCAAGCGCACAGCAGGGATTTTCGACTTCTTCAGCCTCTTTCTATTTTTTTTAAAAATAGCGCTCCGTAACTGTGAACGGAGACAGCCTCATCTGTGTCAGAAAGCTCCCCCCCTGGCAGACAAGCAGTCTCTGAGTTGAACTGTGGGCTTTTAAGTAAGGAATGCAGACGGAACTACAGCTCCCAGGAGCCTGGGCGCTGTCCCGTCAGCCTGGAGGCGGGCGGAAGCTCAGAAGCGCGGGTGCACGAGGAAGTGGCGCCCATCCCGGCCCAGGGCTGGAGCTGCTGCGAGGAGATGGAGTTCTCCCAGCTGCTCTTCGTGATCAGCGAGGCGCTGGACAGGACTGAGCTGGCATCTCTGAAGTTTCTCAGCCTGGAGCACGTCACTGTAAGGAAGCGAGAAGATATTGAGGAGCCCAAGGCCTTCTTCCAAGCATTACAAGAGAAAGGGATGATCGAGGTGGGGGACCTGTTCTTCTTGAAGGAACTGCTCTATCGGATCAATCGGATAGACCTTCTGGCTTCCCACCTGGGCTCCAGCCGAGAAGAGATGGAGAGGGAGCTCCAGGTCCCAGGCAGGGCACGGGTGTCTCCATTCAGGTGAGCGGCTGGTGGTGTGGGTTCACCAGGGTCCTGGAGGCGAAAGTCTGGCAGAGCCTGACCCCGGAGTTACTCTCTGGGGATCAGTTATCCTTCTTGGGTGGGTAGGTGCGAGATTTTTACTGATGAGTTAACACCAAGGTAAGGTTTGGCAAAACACAAGCATCTCCATCTTTCCTAGGAAAAGCAGGTATAAGGAGTAGAGAAAACTTCTGTCCAGTAAAGGAGAGAAGACCAAGCTTTCTTCTCTGAAAGAGTCGTGAGGCACTGTAATGGACTGTCCAGGGAGGTGGTTGAGTCACTGTGCCTGGAGGTGTTCAAGAAACATGTGGATGTAGTACTAAGGGACATGGTTTAGTGGGGAAATATTGGCAGTAGGTGGACAGTTGGACTACGTGATCTTAGAGCTCCTTTCCAACCTTAGTGATTCTACGATTCTGAGAAAATTCGCAGACTACAAAGGCTTGTTGTGGGCTGCAGTCAGTGACTGGGTGTGACTGTCTTTGCCCTCATGTCCCAGTGCAGAAACTTTCCGTGCAATTCTGATTTGGGGAAAACGGATATTTTTAGTTGCAGCTGGAAATGGTTTGATTTCTGTCTGTTCTGGGACTAATGTCCTCAGATTAAAAAGAAAAAAAAGCTGCCCTGGGAAGGCAGATGGGGGAGCTGAGGGGATGGTTCAGTGGTACAACGTTAAACTGTGCTAAGGAGAATGCTAGAGAACATAATGAAACTGTCCTCCACTGTTCCTTCTAGGTATCTACTCTTTCAGCTGTCAGAAAACATCACCAAAGATGACATGAAGTGTTTCAAGTTTCTTTTGGGAAAAGAATTACCAAAATGCAAGCTAAGCCCTGAAACTGTAAGAATTGTTTTGTTTTGTTTTTCTTTTGTTTTCTTTTCTTTTAAATAATTGCTGTAATACTTAGCAACATTTAGGTTGCTCTGAGGGGAATGAATGTCACTTTTCCATTAGGAAAAGGGAAGACCTGGAATGGTGCATAGAGGACTTGTGTGCCAATGTTGCATGTACTGCTCCAGCCCAGAAAGCACAGTTCAGCCCTGGGCCAGGCATGATGCCTGCACACCCAAACTCTGTGTAGAGTTGACTGGTTTTATTCAGTGGAAGGCTGAGCACTTTCATTCATCTTTTCCAGCTGGTTTTCTTTTGGTTGCTAAGTCAGTCATTAGCGAATGAAGAATCACCCACTAGGGCTATTCCTGTAAAGTTTTGGTGCTATTTATTTCCAAACCTAGAAGAAAACCCCAAAAAGATCCAGTCAGAGAGCTAAGGCCCAAGAGCTTGGAGTTAACTTACATCATTGCAAGATATCCAGCTGTTCTTTACACTATGTCAACCTGCCCTTTAGACTGCTAGGTACTTTGTTCTGCCTAATGAAATCTCTTTTAAAATCTTTCCTCTTTTCTTAGAGGATCAACTGTGCCTGTTCAGTGGTGGATGTTCTAGTAAATACATGGGTGACCACTGTGCTCTGCCACTTTCTTTGGCAAAAGCTTCTGTCCCTTGGGTTCTCTCTTCAGAGAACTCCTTATACTATATTTGCATGGTTATACCCATTTTTGCTACAGTGATGGTTGTGTTTCAGTCAAGTGAACAAAGTTGTCACTGCAAGTCAGATAAATGTCATTAAAAATGACATTATTTGTTCCTGTGTGATCACCATTAGCTCTCAGCATCTCTGAGCAGTGGGAGGGAAATAAGCTTGTTTTGGGAAGATATTTTTAGTCGTTGTACTTCTAGCTTTTGTCAACTTACATTTAATTGAATCAGCTTGAGGTATCAACTGAGACAGAGAGACTGACAGTGAGTCACTTGTATTGTCAGTACATGAAAGCCAGCTTGGGTGCCCTAAACATGCTGCAGCTTCCTTCTCAGTAGCAGCATGGATCTGCCCTAAGAGCAAACTACTTTTCTGATTGCTCAGACAATGCTCGACGTTTTCACTGAGATGGAGAAGAAGGGGATTTTGAGAGAAGACAACTTAACTGTCCTGAAGACTATTTGTGGAAAAGTGGACAAGAGCCTGTTGAAGAAAATTGAAGAGTATGAATTAAACTCATTTGGTAAAACAAAACAAGGCCTCTTTCCCATACTTTTTATTCTTGAAGTGATATGTAAGGTGTCTTAGAGGACTAATGCTGAATGCTTTCCAGGTGAAGGAGAGATGCTTGTAACAGAGGGTCAAAGAAGCAGCACAGGAGCCCCTGAAGGTAACTGAAACTTCTTCAAAAAAAACATTTAGATCTTTGCTTTTTTTCTGGCTTTTAGCCTCTCTACACTACTTGCATCTTGCCTTTAAACATGTGCCTATCTGAGAAGTGGTCAAGAATCTTTTCGCTTACTAACTGATCGCAGCACTTTAAACTCCCTTTTAATTGTTTACTTATACATACGTTTTGTGTGTGTATTCAGACAGTGCCATGTGGCTGGCATCATCTGTGGCACCTGATTCTCTGGGCAATTGTGATCAGCCTTCACAGGTAAGTCAGTTTGTGTCTCAGAAATGTCACAATTTTGTCTCGGAAGAGACCATTCCTTTATGAAGTACAGATGAAGTATTATAAGCACAGCTGTTAAAGGCACTGTCTAGAAAAACAATGATGCACTACTCTTTAATGTCCTTTATTTTGAAACTGCGTATCAGGCAGAAGCTGCAGAAGTATTAAGCTTAAGAAATGTTTTTAAGGGTAGAAGATACGCCTAACTTTTAATACCAGGAGACGGGCAGTAGGCAGATAAATAGGCACAGAGAAGTGGATGAATGCAACACACCCCCTTGTGGGCGGAGCTGCAAGAGGTGGGTTCTGTCTTGCTTGCTTGTGAGGCAGCATGTGGCCAAGCCTTGGTAGAGCAGTACCGGGAGAGTTGCCCAGATAGAAAGCTAGCTTTTTACCCTCTGTGCCATGCCACAGGGGCTGAGAAGCAGTCACAAGAAGTCTTTCTTTCCAACAGCTTGAAGTTTATAAAATGACCAGCCGACCCCGTGGAGTTTGCCTGATCCTGAATAATCATAATTTTGCAAAAGCCAGGGAAGCAGTGCCAGAACTCAGAAAGATGAAAAATCGGAATGGGACAGATGTGGATGCAGGTACAATGAACATTACAGATGAGTTTACGTATATTCAGGGAGAGTGGACCGTACATAAAAACAGGAACCATTTTGTGTTCTGGACTAGGAGTTCAAGCTTCCACGTCAAGGCTATGTTTCTTGTAGTGGTAGACTTGCATACTACTAAAATACACAGAATCAGAAGCAGATTTGCTGGAGAACCAGAATTTTACTTCACTTCTAGCTTAAGAGTGGATGGGGATATGGAATTCAGGCACTCTTATATTGCTATTCAAGGGCCCTCATTTTAGTACGTTGTCCTGCAGAGCAGCAGCACAGCTCATTGAAGGTCCTAGGGTCTGTGAAATGGGTATATTTGCACTACATTAACCAGGAGAGAAAAATCCATTAGCAGAGTGCAGGTTATCTTCTTGAGATGCAGGACTACCCAAATATATTGACAGAAATATTTTACATACGTATATAAATATATATATATATTTTATCAAAGGATGTATTATCAAAGGAAAGCATGGAGGTGAATGTATGTCAGTATTTTTATTTTGTAATATTTTAATCAGTATACTAATTTCGTTTTTTAATGCATGACCAAGCTGTCAGTATTTTTATTCTGTAATATTTTAATCAATATACTAACTTTGTTTTTATTGAATGCATGATCAAGCTGTCCTAGGGGAGGTTTAGATAGATGTTAGGAAGAATTTCATAAGGGTGAGGGTGGTCAAACACTGGAATGGGCTATCTGGGGAGGTGGTAGAGTATCTACCCCAGAGGTATTTTAAAGCTGTGTGGGCATGGCCCTAAGGTGCAGGATTTAGTGATTAGCAAGATCACAGGGAATTCTTTTAGTGAGAGATAAGGGAATGCAACACAAATATGACTAGTGATCAGACTACTACATTATTTTCAGAGAAAGAGTGTAAATACCTGGATTTAAAAAATAATTTAAAAAAAGGTTTATTTGTAAGAAGTGTCCTAATTTTAGAAAACTGCTTTAATTCCTCCTTGGTTTACTTTCCAGGTGCTCTGAAAAAAGTCTTTAGCAACCTTCATTTTATAGTAGCAGAATACAAAGACAGCACTGCAGAGGAAATCCGTAAGATAGTGAACAAGTATCGGTGCATGGACCACAACAACAAAGACTGTTTTGTTTGTTGTATTCTCTCTCATGGAAAAAAAGGCATCATATATGGTGTTGATGGGCAGGAAGTACCTATCCAGGAACTGACCACTTCTTTTACTGGGCAAAATTGCAAATCACTTGCTGGAAAACCAAAAGTCTTCTTCGTTCAGGCCTGCCAAGGTGATGCTTATCAGAAAGGTGTAACCATTGAAACAGATTCCGGGGAGCAAGATCATTCTCTAGAAACGGATGCAAGATTTCAGCTGGACTGCATCCCCTCAGAGGCAGACTTCCTCTTGGGCATGGCTACCCTGCAAGATTATGTCTCCTACAGAAGCCCAAGCCAGGGGACCTGGTACATACAGTCACTGTGCCAACACTTGGAGAACAGCTGTCCTCGGTAACTATTCTCCCTAAGATACTTTTTTGCAACTCCTTTTATCTTCCTCCTGAAAGACACAAGTTTGATTTGAATGCAAAGGTAGATAACATGCACTGGGAGCGAAAAGAGCAATGTAGAATAGCAACACTGATTGTTTGAAGCAGTTCACCCAACTGCTTTAAAGATGGTTTAAAGGAGGAGCCATTAGCAGTGGCAGAGGTCAAGATGATGTATAAGAACACAGTAAGTTTTCTGATGTTAAATGCAAATACTCTAATACAAAACTGCTTGTATTTTTTGCAGAGGAGAAGATATTCTCACCATACTGACAGCAGTGAATCAAGAGGTGAGCAGCAAGATTGACAAGCAGAATGCAGGGAAGCAAATGCCCCAGCCCAGTTTCACACTGAGGAAAAAACTCATATTTCCTGTAAACTAAATGGGAGCAGAGGCACTGAGCACTGCAGTAACCTGAAAACCACTCATCTCAGCTGAGAATTCAGTAAAACATCAGTCTGCTCCTAGCAGAATATATATATATGAATGTTTTTATGATAATAGATAAGGAATAAAAGCTTTACGAATGTAAGAGTTAATTTGGGTGATGCTTTTTATACTTGAAAACTGGTCTCCAGTTTGCAACCTTACAATAGATTGAGGGTCCTTCCAGATGTACCATACGTTGCTGTTGTTTTATTAAGATACTTTTCAAACACAAATTCATATAAAGCCTTGTGTATTTTATGTTTAATTTTTCATAAAATAAAAGGCAGGGGACTGCAAATTTTATAGAATGCATCAGCTCATTTTCTTACACACCCCTCTGCTTTAAATCATTCAGACTTAGTTCTCCTCAAAAATAAGTCAAGAACTTGTCCTCCAGCATCCTGAGCTGTGACCTGTATTTCACAGCATACTTTACCTACACAGTACTCTTAACATTCCAATCAATTGTATAGGTGCAGCATTATGCTTATGTTCACTTACCTTGCTGACTTTTTAGTCTCTGTTGTAGGCATAGCAAAAAAAGAATTTACTAGATAAGTGAACAGCTCTTTAAAGACATATTGCCTCTTCTGATTACTATGTGCACAGTAATTATACTAATGTAAGTGACTACTTAGCTGATTTTAGATAAGTCTTCAGTTGAACCATTTTTGGAATGTAAGTAATTCCCTAGATTCCTATGCTGAATGTCTTCACTCTTTTTTTTTTTTTTTTTACTTCTTTGGATTTTCATCCAAGATTCTCTCTCCACGCATACCGTTCAGTACTTTATATTGCACCTGTGTTCTTCAGCAACATTCTGTTCTGTACATACACCTTGGGCTCCTGCTATTCTAACTGTCCTGCTTGTCACACTGCAGATCAGCCAGCTGGGGACCAGATATAACCAAATGACAAGTTGCACACTTCCCTTTCCTTTGGGTGGAGGCTGGATTGTCTTTTAAGCTTGTATTGCTGACAAAATTTAAGTGAGCCCAGAGATCTGAAATCGGAAGAATCTGACAGCATGCTCACCCAGGCAACTCTTAATTAAAAGAAAAAAAACTACAGCAACTACAGTTACCTATTCTGAGGGAAATAGTTTCCCCAGGAGAACATGATATAAAAAATCTGGGGGAATTTTCCAGCAAGATAAATGCATCCCGTAAGCAAGGTCTTACTAGTATTCTCCTCATATAATCAGTTTGGCAACTCTTCTTCAAATAGGAATTAAATGTGTGCCCTTTCAAACTCTTTTATAATTGGTTTCCTCTTATAAAGCAACTATCTCACTGATTCACAAGGAATCTCAGCAGCTCTGCAGACTAATTACACTCATGCATATGAAGAAAAAAGGAAATTCTCTCTACCTCTCATGCTCCTTGTAACAAATATGTAAAGCAACAAAACCATCAGTAAGGCTTCGAAGGCTTCTGTGTGTGCTGCTTAGGCACATGTATTGCAGTCACCTGCAGAAGCACCCCTGCCAGTGGGACAGCGCACCAAGCAGTTACAAGTGGACAGCCACAGGCAGGCCACAGCACACACAGTGAGGTAAACATTTGCACTTTTTAGACTAACTCTCATTGGTGTCAATTATTTGCTCACACTAATTCTGCAGTGCTTACCTTAGGGTAACATTTTCATCACAGAGATAAACTGCAGTGACCTGGTGGTTTTCTTCAACTGATGTGATTTTCTGCTTGATGCTTCTCTCAGCAGCAGGTATTTTGCTTTCTTTGCAAAGAAAAGAAGAAAAAACTCTGTTTTCTTTTTGTTGTTTTTTTTTTTCTTTGTAAATCAACATCACAACTAGTAAATACAAACAACAGTAAATTGTTAAGGTGACTTGTGACAAACAAGTAGTACCAAATACCAAGAACAGTTATCTTCACTCTCTCCTTGCTTCCCTTGTTTTTGGGTTTTTTATTTTGTTTTGTTTTTTTAATTGTAGAGGAGGAGATTGTTAGAACCATCACCGAGGAACTAGTTTGAAATAGCCTACATTTCACAGAGAGTTAGGACATTCTTTTACCCTCGTGTATTTGCAGTAGTGCTATTGTAGTAGTGCAGCTCTACGTAGATCACCATTTCTTACACAGATGTACAGCCTTCTAGCTGCATAAATACAGTGAATATTAGGCAACAATGTAAGTTGCATGCATGTTGGTGAAGCAAACTTAGGGGACTTTTGCAATGCAGATGCAGGCGTTCTATTTTGTGGCTTGACCCTGCCTAACCACCTGTACGTACAACAGTTGCAGAATCTCTCTGCAGGATGTCCAACTCAGTCTTCAGCATATGAAATGCTGAGCTGAAAAGTCATCTTCAGTCAGATGAGGGTTCCAGTCCTTTGCCATTCTCTCATGTCAGAAAAGATAGCAAGCTAAATAAATAGAAGATACTTACCATAGGATAGTGTTGGTTCCTAATTTCTTGCGATGTTCTGCACAGAGTGCTAGAGGAACCACTATCAGTTATTAAATTAGACAAATTTTAGTAAAAACCTGTTAACTGCAATAAATGCTGTTCCCAGTCTGTACCATGGAAGTAATTGAGCATTTTCAGAACAATCTGAGCCTTTCTGCCACAAAAGCAGGTGCAAGGACATGTGTTGGAGGTATGCACAGCTGCAGGCAAAAATTGGGTACCTCTGTGCATATGGAATTTCATGAGACATGCACAAAGGGAGTACTCTTCAAGGATAAGTAGCTTGTTTTCAGTCTCTGCTCCCCCTTTATCGCAAACACAGAGGAAGGCTAATAGAAGTACAGCTATTGAGATAGGAAATCACACATTTTCCTGTAAAAAGCTCAAAACAATCTTTCCTTGAAGGTCTGAAGAAAAAACAAGGGAAGAATATATATTTCCAAACAGGAGGCCATAAAATAAATGCAAACAAAGCCACTGACCTAGATAGGTACTTAATTGTAGCAGAATAGTCCAGTCTCTTTTCTGCTTCTTGCTATTTGTCACAATATTGCTAGAAGAATGCAGCATTAGCTGCTGTACTACCAGAAAGCATAAGCATATTGATTTCAATTGAGGCTCACAATCAAATATTCTGCTTAGAAGCTGATGTGAAGTTTTATCACTCATAAGTAAAATATTATTCAAAAAGCAGCATACTAAATGTTGTTTTCTAGATTTAACCAACACATCTAAACTGCAGTCAAAGTCTGACCACAACTTGTATTGCACATCTATATTTCCTTTAATTGCTTAATTATGAACACAACTGCAAAGACTAGCACAGCCTGATCAAGTTTTGGAATCAATTTCTAAGATAGCTTTTATATGCAATACTTATGCAGATACCAATTCACTTAATCTGTACACCAATCACTAAATTCTATCCAACTGTCAAAAAGCTCTAATCTCAGTTTTACTAAATAACATTGCAAAACAGATGATGACATCTGGAAGAAACCACACAAGATGACCAACATACTGAAAAAGGACATGTTATACATGTTTATTACGAAATTTACATTCCACCATGAAACAACAGTAGGTGCAAAAAGCAGATGGAAAAAACAAACGTTCCCAGACCGTTCAAACGTTGTGTGTAATCCCTTTGTGTAGCAGCCAAAAGAGGCTCAAACCTATTATCCTCATTCCCTCTGTAATGCTCTTTGACAGCAGTAGACTTTTGACTTCATCAGCCCACAGGTATTTTGAGTGTGCAGGTATCTCCAAGTTTATCAAACACAGTGAAGCTTGAACTGTACGCCTGTACAACTAGAAAGTTATAAACTTGTACTTGACTTAAGCCAACCTGAATAAATGTAGACACTACAAAATTTTCCTTTCCAATGTCTTGAACTTTCACAAACATGGCACTTCTTTTCTTTGCAGCATCTATTTTTTGTCTCAAATTTGCAAGGTAGCAGAACGTTTTACAAGTGCAACTCTCCATCAATTCACTCAACCAAATCACATCTGTGCAGGACAAAAAGATCTTGAGCAAGATCTCAGCTACTTAAGTCATCCAAGTTCATTTCCCCTCTTGCAGGAGACAATGGAACCCAAGTGAGTTCCTAGAATAATGGCAACTTTAGTATGTTATCAGAAATACACGTGTTTGTCTGCTTGATTTTGGCACCAAGAGGTAAACTTGGAAGATGTAGCAACTTTCCCTGCTGCTGCAAGCTAGGCACAAGTATACAAAATGCACAACAGAATTTCAAAAGTACTGTACCACGGCATCAAAAAACTGGATGAATACAAACACAGCAGTATTCAAACTCTTTGATCATCTTCCTGCTTGTGTAAATATCCGATGATCCTACAGAAAGCAACCAACAAACTTCGCAATATCTATCGTATCGTTTGAATGGAACCAGTTTCTATTGCTAGGCTACAGAAAATGGAATTGTCCTGAAAAGAAACATGCATTTAATTAATGTGCTATTACATAGCTTTTAATGGAAGCATGGTCTGCCAAAGGAATTTGGATTTAATTTATTTTCCTTTTTCTGCTGATAACACATGCAATGATCTGAAGTTATATAATGAAGCTAGTTAGAAACATAGTGAAATACCTTTAAAAATTATCTGTCTCTTCGATGCATTCCTATAATAAACGTACATAAAACAGACAGACTTCTGCCACGTTATATACTTCCCTGTTTATATCAAACTATCTAATCTTTTGTCAACTCATTCCTTAGTTTACTGGAGAGCAAGAATATCTCTCCCCAGCTCTTTCATTCTTACCTTATTTAGCTAGGTAAGGCCCAGTGAACAGTTAAGGAAGTACAAACATAAATATTTACATGAAGGAATTAAATATTTTTCATTTAAAAAACAAATTAACCCGTATATAGTATTTCAAATAAAATTCACCTTTCATAAGATTCTTAGAGAGCAAAAGGCAACTCCAGGAGTTCCTGAATATTTCTGTGCGCTGCTGACAGAAAGTTTCTGCTGAGAGTCCCTGTGCAAGTTTGAAGTGATTAGTCCTTTTCCTTTTACAAAAAAAGACTGCTATATCAGAGTCATCATGAGATCCATAGGGCTGTAAAAGCAGAAAGGCCACATTACAAATCACTTTAAGAAGCTTTCTTTTCCTGCCCTACTCCACTCAATCCTGCAGCAACA